CCGCACTCTCTCAGCAAACCTGAGCTACACTGCATTCTCATGTATTTCTTAACTGGCTACTTTGTTATGTCTGATATTCAATTTCTTACTACACTTCCCTTCTAGCTGGGTAGGTTTTATGCATTTACCAAATTAAGATGACAGCTAGAAGCCATATTATGGAGTAAATCCCAGATTACAGAACCAGTAATTTTCCATGGAAATAATAAAAAGGGAGCTTACTGATGAGGAAGTACAGAATTGAAAAACATAGTAATTTACCTAAACAAAATGTCATTTAATTTATTTGTTGTTCAACACTGCATATTACTATGTTAAGTGAGCACCTCAAAAAGCATCATTGCCAAAATCAGGAATTCAAATATTATGAGTCACCTCCCACCCTGAAACGTCACAAAAATGTCTTTAAAATTGACCCCCTCCCCCCCCCAATTATACAATGTGGGTTTTGGGGCTGAAGGAGTTGCCTGTTGGAGTCCACATTTTCAATCTTTTCTGTGCAGTCATAGAGCTGGAAACATACTAACAATGATCCCAGAGCTGATGTTTTAAGAACACTATATATTGCATATTGCAAGCTGCACAGCAAAATCCTGAGTGTTCGTATCACTATCCTACTACTGGAATATAAGGAGTGTAACCCATCTTAATCTTTGTAGTAAATAAGATTAAATAATACCATTTCCCAGGTAAAGAACTGAAACACAGACACTTCAAGGGCCAGATCTACACAAGTATTTAGGCACCAAAAATGCAACTTGAGGTAGGATTTAGGCACCTAAATGGATTGTTCACTTTGTCTTAGATGCCCAAAAGTGTACAGGCCAGCTTAAAGTTCTGTTGCTCACAGAACTGCTACCATATTATATGATGAATATATTCATGCCTAAGCATAGTTGGGATTCACAAACTATAAGTATCTCTGCCAAAGACTCCTGCAGGGCCTAATCCAGTAAGGATGCTCAGGCCACATCCAAGTTTCACTGACTGTGCTCCGTACTGGACAAAACACAGCACAGGCACTATTTTCATTCAAAAACAGGTGGCGTTATGTAACAGCCCGGAGCACTTTTTGGGTTCTAGGACCTCCTCAGCCTTAGGGTTGTAGCCCATTGAAGGTACTTTCCTGGGGAGACAGTCCTCGAGGACTACTTATATATCTTGAATAAAATAACTACTGAATAAAATACAGAAACGGCATTGGGAGTCAGGGCCCATTCCCTTCAAGAGCAGAGTGCCTTCTTCACTGGGCTGTTGAGTTGGGCTCCCTCTTACTTGCTGTCCTCTGCCCCTGTGATTCTTGTACACATGGTGGCCCAATGTCAGTAAGAAGGGTAGGCATGAGAACATTCACTCAGTGGATACAGCATTTTCCTTAGAAGTACAAGATATAAGGGTCCTATAAATTCCACTTACTTTAGTGTATAGAGCAGGGGCAAAGTCACCTATTCATGGTTTTCACTTAACCATGAGGTCCAAACCTTTTTTAAAAGCAGAAGCGAAAAATCTCAAGTAGTTATAGGCATCCATCTGCTGGGGATTTAACAACAGCAACAACAAACAATTATCGTATGACTTGCAGTAAATCACGAGAGTTGAAAATCCTCTATTTTTCTATTCAAAATGACAGCTTCAAGTTTGCCATCTTCTTTAGCATTGCTTTACTTTTTTGAGTGAAGTGTGTTATGTGGTTGGTAGGCCTGAACAGTGAAATGGTAATTTATGATTGAACCGCTGATGTTGACATTGATGTCAAATGCCTGCCAAGATTCCTCACCAGATTCTCTCTACTGAAAAGCCAACTCATCTCCACTCCCAGACAGATTTATTCATATATTCCTCTTGCATTTATTGACAATAAATATTATAAAATCACACAAACCCAGATGGTATTGGTTATAGTTGCCAGCCATTCTATTACTTGTGAGTTCTCTCTCTTGTCCTGCAGATTAGCTCCCACTAAAAGCTAATTGTCAGTTTTCTCTAGTCCTGTTGCATTTATTTATAAGCCATCCTTTACCCGCTCACACAGAGCTATTTTCAACTTTTGGTACTGGCATTCAAGAAGCAAAGCAAACAGGAGGCAGAACATAAAAGATTCGGTTTCCATGCAAGTTTAAATGTTATTTTTCAAATAGCGGCTTTAATCCCTTCTAAAATAAAATCAGCCCAGTCCTTTCACCTTTAGAGAGGCTGCTTCCGGAATTCCGCCTACCCATATTAGATATTTGAATAGGAAATTCCTAGTAATGTTGAAAGCTGAGATTCTGTCACTTTTTCTAATAGTTATTGTTACAGAAATGAGATGATTCTGCTACTGAATGCACATAACCAGCTACAGAAACTGAAATACTGCAGCCGCTAGTTCTGATAGTTCCCATTAAATCAAGACTCCTGCTTATTTTTAACTTTGATTGTTTGCTCTAAGATGTACCATACTAATCCAGTCTACTTATGATGTTGATGGCTACAGACCCCTATCAAGACCAGGACCCCATGTGCTACATAGTGTGCAACCACAGAATCAGTGACAGTCCCTGTTCCTTTGGGCTATGTACAAACAGTCAGAAAGCCTTAGGCTAAATTGATTCAGTCTTCACAGGTTAGTCTAAGCTGTGCAGATTAAACCAATAAGCAAGTGAACAGACATTCACTTTTGATTCCAGAAATGCAGTCACATTCCTGCAGTGACCCAGGCCAGAAGCCAGAGGGCACTAAAGCATGCCTCCCTGTTTTGCTGGAGCAGACAGCTTGGGCCAAGGCTAGCCCACCTACTCTGTGAGGGAGGGCGGTGGTTGCGGGGGAGGTGTAAAGCATTGTGGGATGCTGGGGGACTGTGAGTTAACTTGAATCTGGAGGGGATCTGGGACAGAAGTTCAATAAACTGATTTAATCTAAATCAGTTAAGTCTGATACTACATCCATCCAGGTTTAGTTTAAACTGGTTTTGGCCATTATGAAAATGGTTTATGTGCACTGAACGTCTGTTGTTTTACACATTTGAACTGGTTTCCACTCACTTATACTGATTTATGTATAATTTCTGTCCCTAGCCCTGAGGTTACTGCATCAGTAGACAAGGTAGATAACGGTCAAGGGGACTGGAATGAACATACAGATATGGGTAGAAAATTGGGGTGATTTCCAAATATCATGTTGGTGCCATAAAATTTGGTCCTTGAGTGGTTTCATTTTTGGATATAATTTTTGTTGGGAAAGGAGTAGCTGAACTGAGAGATGAGGAAGGTAGATGGGATATTGATAGGACAAGGAAAGAGAAAGGAATAAAGGAAGGGGGGGGAGAAAATGTCCTGAGTAAAAGCTTTTTAAGTAACCAAACAATCAGCTGCTGATGACATTGTCTGAGCTGGCAGGTCCTTGCTTCAGTAGTTTTAATCTGTTCTAGCTGCTAGCTGAGTCTCTGGTGGGTTCCCCTCATGAGATTCTTGGGCATGCCTATACCACCTGCGGACTGTACTGGGTTGCACCACAGTGACACTTGACAGGCCCACTCTGTACACAGTGCATCCCCATATGACGTAATGTAGTGACACTTAGTGTGGCACCAAGATTGGTGCCTAAGATAGAGACCTTATGGCACATGTTTAAAGACCATAAGCAACATCCCATACTTCCAGGATGCAGCACATGTGGAATTGGAGTGCTGTTCTGAGATGGCATAGACATGCTCTTCTTGTACGCTAGCTCACATGGGTAGGACAAGTCTGGGGCTCCATTGGTCTTGGTCCCTCCCCAGATGAACTGTCTGCTCAGCAAAGTTCTGCATCTGGGCATTCTGGGAAAGGATAACTCTACCTAGGTCTCATTTTCCCTCTTTCCTCTTATCCTGTCTCATTTTTCTAACAGATTAATAAGTGGAAGTGTTTCTTCTACTGTACTAGTCCCAGTCCATCACTGTGGTGCCTGAACCCATTCCTATGTTAAACATGAAGAGCCAGATCCCTAGTATAAATCAGCAGAGCTCTATGGATTTCACTGGAAAAACACCACTTAACATAAACTGAATATTTGGCCCAACAATGCTTGTTAGTATCAGGGAAGTAAAGCATTTTCACTGCAAGATGGTCATGGTATTACATGTGGTATGTATGTTCTTGTGTTTAGCAAAGAAAATGATTCATTTATTAATTTATAAGAGCACTTACATTATTTATAATACTACATAATATTTATAAATGTTGCTTCTATTTTATATTATGCATATAGTGAAGTATATGCTGTGTGCAGCTGTGTGGAAATCAAATTGAAATGAGTTTTACATTTGAACCATAACATTTACCCATCTTCTCTGCTCATGCTACAGGAAGGTGAAACTGGATTGTAATTCCATGCATGTTTTAGGATTTCAAACACAGCATGAGTCACCTCTGAAACACTTGTCATTTCTACTTAACTCCATTGACAGTGACTTTCAGTAGGTGTTGAGTGTAAGCTACGACTACAGGAGTATACCCAAAAGTAATGTTGCCAGTGTTTGTGAATACCACGATTCTGGCCCTTGCTGCACACTATCTTGTGATAGTGTGACAAGCAGTGCCCAGGAGTCCTGTTTTGGAAAGGAGAACATAGGTGAGAGAGTGAGGTGTTCCACACAATGACATGTAGCCTAGCCTAAAGGTGAATTAAGTACAAAGGGCACATCTACACAAGATGCTACATCACTGTAGCGACAGTGACATAGTGTCAGTAGGCATGAACCATGACTGCTCGTTACTACTGCGCAGTAGGTTGGAAACGACCCACATGCTGCCAGGATTGTGCAGTAATTGCAGTTACTGTGCTGTCATTTAGTACTTGCTAAAACTAGTATTAACTGATAGCACAGTAACAACTGCGCAGTGAGGCGCACGTGTAGATATGCCCAAAGATTGTGAACTCTAGTCCTACCTCTTCAGTTGTCAGTATCTTCAGAACCCCTACATCATATAAGATTTATGCTAATAATAGCAGAAAGAAAGAACTTGGATCTTAAACTCAGTTGTAACCACGACATTTATATTTCCCGATTTTGTCAAAACAGGCAGATATGCAGAGCGAGGAGGGGTTGCATAGTAAAGGGGGTGGAACATATGGCTTTTTGTTGAAGATTGCAGAATTCAAGGCAATTGATGATTCACGGATGGATGCTCTGGGCTGGCAAGTCAGCCACAACAGCTGCTGCTCTAGAATCTGGCTAGTTTCCTGGTACATCATCTGCCTCATCTCTCCTTCACTAGTCTTTCTCAGCTTGTTGTGCTGGTATAGCATGATGAAATCATTCTTGAGATCAGGTTGAAAGTTATAAGCAGAACAGGGAAATAGGAGGAAGATAGTATGGCTGTAAAGAAAAAATAAGATTTCATAGCAACCAAGGGTCCTTGGGGATCTGAATGGTGATAACAAGATGAAGTGCAGGGATCTCTGCCAATCCTTAAAGTTCACCCATCAAGGGTGAAGTCTAGGAAAAAACAGTCTGTCTTTAATTAAGAGGAGGCTATGGGCAGAATAAGTGATCCCTAAATTTTGCAGTCCACCAAAAAAGCTTGATTTCTTACACATTGATTATTGTTTCTCAATTTCTGGTTTCAAGTCACGCAAATGCTGGTTTGCATTTGGTACACTGTATATTTGGTCATTCCATTCAAAGTGGAGCAACTTCAAAAAGAGGGAGCAAAAATATCTACCATCTCTAATAGTCTACAGCCCAGTGAGTAGGGAAAAGATGACATACAGCACTTCAAGGATAAAAAAATAATTGAACCCACGTCACCAACATCCTGAACAAAGGCTCTACCACTGCATTACAGTCCAGAGGAATGGGTGGTAGCACCAGCACCATGTTTCATGTGGAGCCTCATGTGTTAGAGATGTTCAGTTCATTCTTACCAACTAGACCCTGTCAGGTAAAAGAAGTGGCAAAACTCATTTGAGTGTAAGTGTGAAACAGGTGCTAAGCAGATTCTGGCCATAACTTTAGGCCATTAAGGAACTTCTAAGTTTTTGTTGAAAACTGAGCATCTAAAGTTCAGAGGTCCCTTCTCGGGTTTGATAGCAGCTGATCTGAGGGTTCTGAGGTACCTACAGGTGCAGTTAGGTGGAACATAAACACTGGAGACCTTCTGTAGATCTAGTCCTTTCTTCTCAAATTCTCCATTACTGCAAGATGTCAGTTTATGTAAGGTTCTGGATTCATTCCGACAAAGATCATTAATTTACTTTGGACTTACCTTGGGGTAGAATTTGCATTTGGCATGATTTCAACAAAGAAATTCCCAGGAGAAACACAAATCTCTCCAATAGAAGCACTTAAAGTTCATATCATAGAATCTTGGAGAAGCAGGGCTGGAAGGGACCTCCAGAAAGAAGTCATCCAGTCCAACCCCCACCTGAGGCCGGATCATCCTATCCAAACCACCCTATACAATCCATTATCTAAATTCTATATAAGACTACCATCAACTCTGACACAACTCAGACTTAACACCTTAACCTGTTACAAGTGAAGCAGGGGGACCATGGCAAATCAATGTCCTGCTTCTATGAAATATTGTCACTATATGGTTAAGAAATCCTGGGTAGAGGTCATGGTCCCCATCCCCTACCACTATGGAGGAAGACAAAAAACCCCACAGCCTGTACCAATTTGACCATGAGGGAAAATTCCTTCCTGACCCCGAATATGTTAATTGGTCTGACTCTGAGCAGAAGGGCAGGACCCTCTAGCCAGGAACCTCTGGCTTTGGTCCCAGCTGGAGTACTGGCACACTCCAGTCAAAGTCCCCAGGCTTGGCTGTAGCCAAAACCCAATGCCTCTGAGGGAGGCTTAAAAACACCCTGACACATGTAGCAGAAAGGGGGGTGGGGAAGGGAGGAGGCAATCAGCAAAGCCTAGAAGCATAGAAAATACCCATAGTAAAACCTGATGTATGTAGGCATAGGCCTAGATCATCCCCAACCAGTGGCTGTCCAACCTCTTTTGAACACCTCCAGTGATGGAGAGCCCACAGCTTCCCTAGGCAGTCTATTCCACTGCCTCACCATTCTAACAATGACAAAGTTTTTCTGGATATTCAGACCAATTACCATATGGGATGCACCCAAGGGTGCTAAGGGAGTTGGCTGATGAGATTGCAGAGCCACTAGCCATCATCTTTGAAAACTCATGGCTATCAGAAGAGGTCCCAGATGATTGGAGAAGGGCAAACATAGTGCCCATATTTAAAAACAAAAAGAGGATCCAGGGAAGGAACTACAGATCAGTTAACCTCACCTCAGTTCCTGGAAAAATGGAGCAAATCCATCTCAAAGCACTTGGAGGAGTAGAAGGTGATTAGGAGCAGTCATCATGGATTCACTCTCTCCCAACCTATCAGTTCTAATCCTCAAAGGGACTTACAAAACACCTTCCACAGATGAGCCTACGAACTTCACTCCATAAATCTACCAGATACAAAAAATCATGGACTCAGTATAGACATTGGATTTATGACACATTACAACCTGCCTGACATCTGATTGACCAGGTACCTGCCAGACCTGACCTTTTACACTTTTCTTTCTCCCCCTTCCTCCCTTCCCCTCCTTTTCTACCCTTTGTCTTCCTAATTTCCAGATATTTACTTTTTCACAGACAGCCTCTTTTCTACCTTGGAAAACTACTACAGTAGAGTCTCTCTTACTTACCTTTGGCTTCCCCCCACCCTCGTTTTTCTCTCCTCCCTTCCCTGCTCTACCTTTTGTTTTCCTAATTTCCACTGATTCACGTTCTCACTGACATCCTGTCACACTTTTAGCTTCTTTCATTTCTTGGAGTCTCAGAACAACAGCAGAGACTCCCTATGCCTGAAGAAGGGTGATTGCAACCAAAAGCTTGCAAAGAACTTTTTTCCAACTAGCCAGTTGGTCTATTAATTTGGATTCTATTAATCCCAGTGAAGAAAATAAATCAGCAAAGAACTTGGCTCTGAACTTAGCCCTCAGTCATTCAGATCTGTAGAATTTGGGAACCCTGTAAAATAAGCACTGGTGTTCCTAGATGTGTCCTGATGCAGCAGTTCACACAGTCATGTCTCATATCAGCAGAATTTCTGTAATTATATTACATTTCCAAGACACTTTAGGATTGAGAGTAAGGAAAAATGCTGTATGAGCAGGATTTTATCCAAAGTTGACAAAAATTATTTTGAAAGCACTACTGGGATATTTTCTTGCTTGTTCTAAACCATTTTGTCTTTACTAACACAAGCAAATTTTGACAACCTTAATATGTTAGAAAGGAGGTTCAGGCATACACCTGACTCTTTACTACTCCCACAGAAAACAATAGGACTCTTTTGCATGAATGAAGTAAGTGGGATTTACATTTGTTTTTCTCCTACAATTTATCTGAAGTACAGTTGGTTCACCTCACCTCCAAAGTTCTTTCCATTCATTCACAGTAGTTTCAAACTAGTATTGCTTAATAAGTAGTAAACTGCTCCAATGTGTACAATTGCTTTGTAGTAATGTTTCTATTTTGGAGTTAGAGGCAAAATAAATAATCTAGAAACCAGGTACATGTTCAAGATAGAAACATTGTTTGCGAGGTTAATCACAAACCTACAGCTATGTTACTACCATATTTAGCATATAGACATAGACCATTGTTGTTTATTAGTCAAGATAAATAGGGCCCATTATAAGTAAAACTAAATAATGACAAGTATTAAAAAAAACACATAATGTCACATTTATTTCAAAGACAGCTTCCATAAGAAAGTATCTTTGAATATTACTAATCTTAGAGTGAAACTTATTGCAGCCTCACTAGTAACATGAAAGATGCTTTCCATATATTTTGTCAAGTTTATTAAAATATAATAATGTCCTAGAATCTTAATATTTTTAACTAAACTCCTTTTCCTTGAGGAGCATGGTACACCTGACAATAGGATTTATTCACACCTAAAAGAAAAGGAAATGTAAGATGCATTGGGAAAAAACTAAGCTGCTTATTCACTATGAATCTTCAAAAGCAGCCAAGTCCCATTGATCTACATAAATAATCGTTTACAGCAGTATTTCTCAACCCATGGATTGTGATCCCCTGAGAGGTTATGAAAGGACCTCAGAAACCATGAATTATTGGAAATGTTCTTAAAACGTAAGACAAAAACATCAGTACCTGTATACCAGGGTGGGCAAAATACAGCCTGTGGGCCAGATCCCACCTGCCAACTTACTGGATCGAGCCTGCATGGGGTGCCTGCCAATTGATTTGATCCAGGCTGCGGCTGCCCCTGAAGTACTCTGCTTGGGGCTGAGCTCAGACTAGTGCAGCCTGTGCCGTGCTCCAGCCCGGGCCTGCCAGGTGAGTGAGTAGAAGGCAGCTGGGAGCTTCAGCTGGGCAGCTCCTGCTCCAGGAGGTGGGGCTCTGACCCCAGCTCCCGGCTGCCTTCCACCCAGTTGGCCACCCACACCAGGCAGGCAGAGCAGGTGCAAGACAGCCAGGAGCTGGAACCAGAGTCCTGCACACTGGGGCAGAAGCCATCTGGCTGAAGCTTCTTTCCAGCCAGGACAGGTACAACAGGAGCAGTGGGAGGAGCTACTGGAGGTGAGGGGAGTGGAGCAGCACCTGGACAGCTGTAGCTGCACCAGGAGCAGCCCTGACAGAAGCTGTGCATGGTGGCCAGGGCTAGGTCAGTAAGTGTGGGCTAGAGTGTGGCACCGGTTGCCCCAGGCAGGAACAGCCAGGGTTTGGCCCCATGCAGAGTGCCGCAGGGGCAGCTGTGAACCACACCGCCCAGACAAGGCCTGCTGCGTGTTCCCCCTGCCACTTCCTCCTTTCCTTCATCCCTGGCCTGCTCCCAGGACCTAGTGCCCTCCCCCCCCCCACACATACATATGCACACAGCCTCTTCACCCCTCCAACAGAGCCACCCCACAACCTCACCCCCATGATCCTGGCCTCCCCCCGGCCCCATTCTCAAACACCACTCCCTGCTGCCCATGGCCACACATAGGGAGTTTTAATGAATCATTGCAGGGGGGAGGGGGAGGGGGAGGAGAGGTGCTGATCCAGCCCTCCACAACTTGTCAAAACTCCCTATGTGGCACCTAGGCCCAAATAATTGCCCACTCCTGCTGTATACCATATCCTTCACAGGTCATGCATTCTATAGCAACCTCAAAGCACACCTACAGATTACATAGTCTTAGTTCTAATATGTTTTTATTTAATGGGATCTTTTGACTTCACATAAAGGAGTAGCATCACTACAAGGTCTAGAAATGGAAATAGGACATATACATATTAGGAAATAAGGATTTTAAATTGCAGCAAAGTAAGTTTAGACTAAA